CGCCAGAATTTAATTTTGACCAGGAAATGTCATTTCGCAAACTACAGATTTTCCATTTTGCAAACTACATTTTTCATTTAGCAAACTACAGACTTTCCATTTCGCAAACTACAGATTTTTCAAATGAATAAAGGCTGATAGTTTCGAAAGAAACTGTTTGGGGCTGCGTCGGTGGGAGTAACGAAATAATTTGGATATATCAACAAAGTTGAAATGGTAAATTGGCCACCGTAACGATTACAAAAGCTGACGTTTCGAGCGTTAGCCCTTCGTCGGAGCGAATAGAGGAATTGTGGGTTGTGTGTGCTTTTAAAGGCAGAAAATGGAGCTACGTTATTGGTGGGAACATGGCAACGAGAAAAACACGAATAAATTAGTGGAATGAAAAGCGTTCGTTGATCCCTGTGGGATTTAGACTGCCGGTTTGAAAGATGAGCTTTTGTTCAAGAGTTTTACGGCTTTCCGTGCTACCTAAGTGTAAGGAAAGACCGCAGATTGCCATATGTTGCTTAGAATGATTAGGTAAATTAAAATGTCTAGCGACTGGTTTCGATGTGTCCTTGTCATTCCTTTCCACGTCTCGAAGGTGTTCTCGGAATCGGTCACCTAGTCTTCTGCCTGTTTCGCCGATGTATATCTTTTTGCAATAAGTGCAAGTTATGCAATAGATTACATTGGCGGAGGTGCACGTGAAGTGATCGGTGATCTTAATGGATCGTTTAGGTCCCGATATTTTATCAGTGTTGTGAATGAAAGGATACGTTTTGCATCGTGCACGAGCTTGTGCAGAGCGCGAGTCAGAAGTGCTGTGTTTTGGCCAGGTATCAATAGTGCAATGGACGAGTTAGTATCCAAGTGCAGTACCTGTCAGAAACACCAGCGAAGCAACCATAGAGGGCCTTTGATTCCTAAAGAGGTCCCTGAGAGAGCCTGGGCAACAGTTGCAGCAGAAATTTTCTACTATAAAGGAAGAGACTACCTGCTTATAATTGACTATTTCTCCAAATATCCTGAAGTAGCCTGATCTTTTGTAAGAATAGTGAAGCAGTTTTCTTGGCCATGAAAGATATGTTTGCACGTCTTGGAATCCCTGAGAGGTTAATCGCAGACAACATGCCTTTCAATAGTGTGAAATTTAATGACTTTGCCAGTAAGTGGGAGATAGAAGTGGTAGCCTCAAGTCCACGCTACCCGAAGTCTAATGGTCTTGTGGAAAGAAACGTACAGACCGTTGAGCAGTTACTAAGGATAGCTGATGAGTCAAAATAGGATGCATTCCTCGCTTTATTGGAGTTCGGTAAGTCTCCTATCAGTGGAATGGATGAATCCCTACCAGAACTTCTTATGAGTAGGAAGCTTAGAACAAGACTGCTAACTTCCAAGAGCCTCCTTGAACCGCAGCCTTGGTGCACTTCTCAGATTCGTCATAATCTGCTGACAAGTCAACAACGTCAGAAAGTACTCAATGACCGCGATAGGTAGGTAGGTAGGTAGGTAGGTAGGTAGGTAGGTAGGTAGGTATACTTAATTTAAATCAAAGAAACACACTAGCCCCAACAACACTCAGCTAGTTTCCATGGAGGGCGTGTTTGTACAGACATAGAAAGAAACTAGAACTAATAATACAAGATTAATAATGTCGAAGGTCTAAAATCATGGCAATTCAATTATTATAAACTAAGTACATATCATAAACTAAGTAAATGATCAATAATATGGTAAGTATAAAACTAGAGAAATTCAACTATAGCAAACTATAGTAAACCAAGTAAAAGATCAACACATGTGGCATGATATGACCCAACTACGTTTTGATAAATTTATTAAATGAATATATCGATTCCGCTAGTTTTGCTTCATTTGGGATTGGTTCCAAAGCATTGCGCCGCTATATTTAAAACTTCTTTTTAAAAACTCTCTATTCGGTTTAGGAAGTGTCAGATCTGTAGCACTATTTCTGAAGTGGTAATCAGTCTGATCTACATTCTTTCTAACAAAGGAGTTCCTGAGGTTGGGCGCGGTGTCGTCATTTAGTATTTTATACATCATTGTTGTCTTGGCACAAAGCCGCCTTGCATCAAGTGTGTCCCAAGAGAGGGTATGTATTATATCAGCGGAACGAACATCATAACTGGCACTAGTAAGAACACTAGCAGCACGAGATTGAAATTTTTGTAACTTGTCTTTTGGTAATTTTCCGCAGTTGTCCCAGGGAAGGGAACAATATTCAAAGTAAGGCTGTACCAGGCTCTTATAAACCTTTTCAAGCGTATCTACAGGAGCAAAGGGCTTAATACGTCTATCTCTCCAATAACCACACTGGCCTTCTTACGAATCATGTTAATATGAGTATCCCAACTACAAAAGTTTTCATCTATCTGAACTCCAAAGCATTTATGTGTGTCAGTTCGTGATACGGGTATTTTGTTTACCACAACGGGTTGTTCCGTATTCTTATTGTTCAAATTATACGAGGAGCCAATAAACATCAAGTTAGACTTATAAAGGGGTGCATTTGAAGTTTGTTTTCTATAAGCCAATTGCGCACATGAGCGAGATCAGAATTTAATTTGATGAAAACATTACCAGAAATCGGAGACATCGATCAAATTTCTTCTCCACCGAACTTTAAAAATGGCAGCCCACGATTACAAAGGATTGTATGGCATAATATAAAAAAATTCAGATATCACGCATATTAGAAAAACTAGCCTGCTTCCCTTGATCTCAATCGAACAAGCAATGTTTTGGTGTTCTCACAATATGACTTTTTAGGTGTTTAATGAAAGATAAGTTCGGACAAATCGCGATTCAAAATTTACCGGTAAACAGTCGCTTAATGTCTCATAAGCTCTATAATTTTGGTAAATATTACATACCAAAAACTCCATTTTGGAGCTCAAATCTTGCCTAGGGACATCTTCCCTCGATCTCCATCGCTTCGTGATGAATTAATGCCCCAGATTTGGTTCGAAATATTCCGCAACTCGATGAAAACCCTCGGACAAATTTAAAGGTTTGATAGTGATATATTTTGCCTCTATACTCTTGACCGCCATTGTGCGACTTTGTACGAAATTGCTAAAACGTACGACCATGATTATCTCTTTCTCCACTATTTTGGAAGCCATGTTAAAGCACATGTAACCAGGCAGCTTTAAGATTAAATCCGCTGGGCATTGACTTAGCAGGCTCGCTTAAACATAAATTTGCGAAG